CATCCATCACTCTTTATGACCATCATTATGACCTCGCCTCGGTCCTCGCGCCACCATTCACATCCTCACATTTAACACTCCTTCCAAGGCTATTGATCTTCCCCCTCTTCTATAAATATTATCATCTCCATAACTATCACCTACACCACCACCCTTTCACCTTGAACACCCACAAAAAACTCCTAAGACTTTAAAATTTCCTAAACCGGTTCCGACATCCCCCAAGACTCGTGGGTTGAAGACAAAAAACGTGCCACAACCGGACGAGCTCCGCCTCCTCATCGGGCAAGCGTCTCACAACCAAAATGGGTAAGTATCTCTCTTTCTTATTCGAAACCCACGACCACATATCCATATTCATTTTGTCGTAGTAAACACCGATATGTCCAATGCCGCTACCACTTTGCCGGAGTCCGAGCATCTCGAAACGAGCTCCAGCCCCTTCCCCGAAAAACCCGAAACTTACCCGCATAAACTTCAAGACGAGGTTGACGGGGATATCCCTTGGGATAGCCTAACTCCCATAATAGATAGCAACTCTCTTCTACTGAACCATAGCCCCCTTAAAGGCGTACCTTTGCCCAATTCCGAACAACATGCCCGAAAATCAAACGTAACCGTAGATGAAGAGGAGCCCTTGAATCCCACCGTAGAATTAGCTCCGGACGCCATAGTGGTCACTCACCCCAACCCTTTCTTTGTCGCCACCAATTCCGAGATAGAGAACTTCAAATTGTTTTGTGAACTCCCCTCCGATTGGTCGTTTAAGGTACCCTCACCCGGTAGCTCGTACGCTCGACCTCCCCATGGCTATTATACCTTTTTCGTCGACCAAATAGCTAGTGGCCTTCGTTTCCCTATTCGTCCGGAGTTACTCGCGTTAGCCGACCTCTACCATTTTCCCATTAATCAACTCGCCCCAAATAGTATTCGCATTCTCATTGCCTACACCATCCTTAGCCGCTATCACTTCCAAAAAGTAGATCTCGAATTCTTTTATTATTGCTATGGTCTTAACCTCCACCAAAGTGGTTCCTACTACCTCGGCGCCCGACGCCCCGCCCATTACCTTAGGGAATTAAACATGAAAATAAGCCATTTGAAAACCCGATATTTCTTCGTCAAACCCCCGAAAGACACTTTCAAATTTAGTCCCGAGTGGCTAACCAATGTTAAGGACCAACCGCGCCCTAAGAAAGTAGCTCGGTTGAGTGAGCTTGTGACCCGGTGGAACCAAACCCCATACCATATTGAGAAGCTTACAAGCCCGGATCAACTCCGCTCCTTCTATGGATTGACTAATAAGAAAGTCGCCCCCTTTGACTTAGGTATAGCTAACTTTGCTTGTTCTTTGTTCGACTGATATTATAATACGTTTGCTTATACATGCACATTAATGCCATTATTTAAATTTCACAGAGAAATTCATGTTCGGTGTCGTCTCGACCAAGAAGACCGAGTCTCGAAAAAAGGCCCGTGCCAATACATCCGCCGCCGGCTCCTCGCCCGATCCCCCTGCTCTTGTGCCGACATCGGGCACCGACCTTGTGAAGAACATCATCCCAAGCTCACGCAAGCGTAAGGCACCAAGCGGGACGGAAAAGGCTCCCCAAAAGACAACCGCTCCCGATCAAGCCGGTGCCACAATCCCGCAACCCAATGCCTTTGCCACGCATACAGATCCGTCCGCGCAATCATCTTATTTATTATCCATCTTTCCGGGTAATGAGGCCGATCGTTGGGACGGGAATAGTCAACAACAAGCCAAATTTTGCATGACACACCTCGCGGCGGTTAGTCCACCCCTCTCTTTTTCTCTATTATTATTATTTGTCTTGTAGTCAATTCCCTGCCATATATATCCATTGTGACGCTAATCTTTCACAAATGCATGCCCAGCTTACCTCGGGCCTCGCCGGCCTCCTCCATGAGGCGATTGAGGGCAAAGCCCCCTCCTTGGCGGAATATCGAAAATTTCAGAAAATTCACGATGCCGAAGTAGCAAAGGCCGAGGCTCTACAGGCCGAGCTAGAGGCCGCCAAAATAAAAATACAAGCGTTAGAGGCTAACCGAGCATCAGA